CAGAGCCTACTGAAACAGTGCTTCCTTAAAGTCCTTGAGTTTTTGCCTTAGGGTGAAGCCAATGTGCTAGGTGTGACATTCTGAATATAAAAACCACTCCTCAGGATTCTTGGATCACTTGGTGATGAGACACCTATGTAGCTGAATTCTTGTGAACTCAGGGATTATGTTTGGTCTTCGTTTGGCCTTTTTAACTTCACACCCACCTCCCATACGTTCTTGCTTTAATAAACCCTTGAAGTGAGGATGTCCTTTGAGTAGTCTCATAAGTCAGTTCCAGTAAACCTTCTGCTATTACCCTGAATCCCAGGAAACCTTGATAGGTAATTAGTAAGCACATTGTGGGCAAGAGTAGATGATAGCCAGTGTTTTTTTTTTCATCACCAAATTCGAATTGTCTTTCCAATCTGGTCATGTTGGCATCCACCTATATATTTTAATTTTCATATAAACTTATATAAATAGTTGCCAATTTAGCTTTAATACCTATAATCCTCATAGATAGTTTTAACATATCACCTACCTCACTTACAGAAAGAGTCACAGAGGCCTAGGAGAGGTACAGCTAGAGGAGTTGCTAAAAGAGCAGACATCTTCAAAGTGCAGAATTTTGATTTTCTACTATAGTAGCAAATATAAAATTTCTTTTAAATTTTATACAATTTAAGTGACTGAACTTAATCAAAAATGTCACTATTCTAACGGGCAGTACAAGGTGAGGTGAATGTCATGAAAGTGAAGTGTGGAAGACTGAACTTCCAGAAGTACCATCTTCGGATCTGGTGCCATAGTCAGGGTTAGGAGTCCTTGGGTTGAGATTTTGTCTGTGGTACGTGTGTGGAGATGTTTGGTATTTCTATCTTCTCTTTTCGCAGTTGGTTACAATGCTGCAGGGAGGTATTATCCTTCTTTCTCCCAGAAATACAAGTTATTGTTCCCCACCCTGCGTGTATATCTCTGAACCCATTTACTTTCCCTGCCATAGACTGCTGTTACTAGAGAACTTTGAATGCTTAGCAGAGAACCTGGCACCTGGTATATACTTGATAACTGCTTGTTGTTAGTGATTTTAAATAATTATCATTGTCTTTATTTTACTTTTCAGTTATAGGCAACATGGAGTACTAATTTTCATTTATTTATTTTTTAACCAAGACTGATATCAGGCTTAAAATAGGAGTATATACTTGATAACTGCTTGTTGTTAGTGATTTTAAATAATTATCATTGTCTTTATTTTATTTTTCAGTTATAGGCAACATGGAGTACTAATTTTCATTTATTTATTTTTTAACCAAGACTGATATCAGGCTTAAAATAGGGCTCCATAGCAGCTACACAGTGGATATACTTTTGCTGATTAGGTTTAGCATTTAAATGCATTTAATGCATTATTTTATTGGATTTGGTGAATCTGTGCTATTCACTGAGGTAATAATAGGATGTAACTTACCACTCTTTAATGTTACTGTTGTTATGAAAGGATGCTGGTTTATGGCAAATTTTAGCTAAAATAAGCTGTGCCACATCCCTGGGAAGACAATCTGTATGATGGATACAATCTTCCCTTTTGACTAGAATGACATGACAGAAGATTTAAGGCCTTGTAAATATCTGACAATGAGAATTAAAGGCCATGAGGGTTTAGACTAGAGAATAACAAAGTGCATTTTAAAATTTGAAAGCATTCCTTTATGATTTAGGTAGTGGTGTCTCTTCTCTTACTGTTTTTCCCCCCCTTATAACAACATCTATAATGTTTTGTAAAATGTTACAGTGAGGTGGTACACATCTACAAGGCACCTCTCATAGAGCCTGTAGAATTGTGTGTTTGTCCATTTCTGTTGCTTATAACAAAATGCCTGGAACTGGAGTAATTTATAAGAAAATGAAATTTATTGCTTATTGTTTTGGAGGTTGGGAAATCCAAAGTCCAGGGAACACATTTGATGAAGGCCTTGGTGGTGGTGACTGTGATGGCAAGGTATCACACTGTGAAATGGTAGAGCAGAGAGAGACTAACCTCCTCATACATTGTCTTTTTAAATCCCTCAGAACCATGCTTCTTACCACCATTTTTAATCCATTCACTGTGGCATGTCCTACAATCTAATCACCTCCTCAAGGCTCTGTCTTTCAATTACCATAATAGGATTTCCCACCTTCAACAGTTACAGTGGGGATTAAGCCTCAGAAGGGTTGGGGGACATCCAATCTACAGCTGGTTGTGTCTTGTTATAAGTGTTGAGAGGTAAAACATGGAAGGGGAAGCAAACCCTTGGCCACCACTGAGGAATCCTTCCTAGCTGCTCCCATGCAGGGGAGATATTTTGGAAATTCTGATCCATGTCTGGAAGGAATAAAGATCCTGTTCCAGAGCTCCTCAGAGTACTGTATAGCCTGTGATACAAGTGGGCTCTCTGTCATTCAGGGCCAGGCCAGCTTTGAATGAGACTGTATAGCACTGGGCTAGATGGATGGGTATGCATGGTCAGTGTTCAGTTCCACCTGCAATCGGGCAGACTTCCAGAGGGAGGTCTGGCCTTCCTGGGGAGGGAAGGCTCTACCTCTGATTATGGAGGCCTTGGTCCTGCTCTGTTCCTTAAATCTATCTGACCGCTGTTTGGAGTGTTCTTATCATTTATTCTTTTCTAATGATTTTTCATTTAGTTTTCTCACTCAAATCTGTTATGTCATCAAAAATTAGCTCTAACTTAGACATCTAGGTACAATAACGTAATAGTATAAAGTATCCTGCCCATAAGGTGACATTTTAGTGCATTTTCTATAAACAAAGTAGGATTCTTCCTGTAATGAGCACGTATCTTATTGGATAAGAATCAGTGTTTTCCACAAGTGAAAACTGTCACTTTGCCTTTACAAATAAAGAAACTAACAAAAAATCTAAAACTGAGGTAGATCAATTTTAATCAGTTAACTACTTTGGAAACATATATGGCAAAATTTCAAGTGCAAAGTACCACAAATCCTAACACTCATAAGGGATTCTAAAGCCATTGTGGACTCAGACAAAATAAACACATAAAGATTTATATCTAAAGCTGTGAAAACACGACTTGATTAATGAGTCTTTAGTAATAATTACCTAGAAGACCACAAGATGGCAGAGTTTCTCTATGAAGCTCAAATAAATCTCTTAAAGAGTAAGTTGATACAAGAAAATGGAAGTGGAGCTTATTAAAATAAGTTGAAGTTTTGGAAGTACCAGGGAATATTTGACTTGGAATGCAATGATTCTAAGGCAGATAATTTACTAAAATCTAAAAAAAATAACTTAGAAAGTTTCTTGAGGGTTGCTTTAATCTTTTATTTTGCAGAAAGGACAGTGCCCAGAAGCATTTAAAATTCATCCCCAAACAGCACATCATTCATCCCAACCATATGAGTAAGGTAAATCAGCAGATATTTATAAAGCAGGTTCCAGAATACATCCATGGGTCAGTACAGTGGCAGACTGGCTTTCAGCATCTAATTCTTTGGCATATTTCAGGGTTTAATCCTGATTACACTGAACCGTCAAAAAAAGTATAAACTATTTTCAATGTAGTATTTTCTAAAGTAGGAAACTATATGATACAGTTTAGAATTTCCATTGAGAATAGTTTGAATGAAACAGGCTTTCGATGTCTCAAACATCTCTTTTGCCTTCTGGGATACTCTTAATAAATAGTTGTCCTGGTTGAACACAGATTGATGACCAGGGGACAGATGACAGTTTTACAAATCAAGGGCTTGTTTGCATTTCCTATGAATAGTTCAAGCATTTGGTGCCTCTTTTCCTTATTCAACAAATATTGAATGAACACTGGATTACATGTGTCAGTGTTTGAAATACTTGCCGAGTCTTTAGATCTATTCCGCTGATAAGAAATTGGAGAGATCTCAAATTATTCTAGATTGGTTAACAAGCTTTTTGTTTTGTTTATCATTCACAACTAAGCCAGGATAAAATATACTATTTAATTGTGTTGACATAAACTACAAAACCAATGGGAGTGATTTAGATTTTGAGAAATATGAAATTAAAATAGAAACATGGACTCATTTTCATCAACTTTATTGGTTGTAGGCAGATCATTCAGTCATTATTTCTGCTTGCTGGTGATATTTAACATGGAGCCATTTTATTCTGTGTACAGTAATTGCTTAGTTTGTAGTTAATGGCTATTTTTAAAGCTGTAAGTTTCTGAAATAGCTGACTAAATCATTATGAGGAACCATGGCTTTTGCAAGTCAACATCTAAGTGGGCTTTGACTTTAAACTAGAGGGTTCATATCTGTAATTCCTGTATGATTTAGCAAATAAATAATTTCTAGCTAAGATGGCATCTCTTCCCTTGTTTGTAAAGTGTTTGTCATCAAATAGAGTCCCAGGGAACAGTATGCATGAAGGGATGTACACTCTCCTCAAAAGCTGTGAAATCTCATTTTCTCATAATCAATTAACCAGAAAAACTGTTTTTTCTATCTAATATTACATTTTATGTTTTATGTTAATTTAGTAAATTTTTTAACGGTAAGTAGGGGTAGAGCAATGAGAGTCTGATTGGAAAAAGGAAGTATGCAGACATTTTAAATGGTTGGTGTTCTGTAAGTGGGAATTTAGTTTTACTTAAAAGTTGATAAAGGTCCACGAAGTTTAATCTTTTCATGGATGCCGTATTTTGAGTAAATATTGAAGAATAGGTAATTATTACGGGTGGGGGATCAAAAGGACTAGCAAAATTATTCTATCAGAACTATCCAGATCATGAATTCTAAGGAAGTATAACTCTAATTAGATATGACCTTGTTTAGTGCTTGATTTCCCAGTGCTGTAAAATTTTATTTGTTCTTAAGAATCATTTAGATATGTAAACCTTTTTTGGGAACTGATATCCATGGAGACAATATGCAAACTTGAGTTATAGCTAGAGAAGGAGATTCAAATATTTTTGGTCCTCATTATAAGTAAATTTTTTTTTTTCTTGTGATTATAGCATCTTCACAACTATTTCACAGTGACACTTGGAGTTCCTGCTTGGTGTTCTTATGTCTTTTTCGTCATTGCAACCTTGGTTTTTGGCCTTTTCATGGGACTGGTAAGAGATAATGCCAATCTTTTTTCTGTCTGTAAAACAAAATGGGTTTCATATAAAACTAAAAAGTAGCCAAGAAAGAAAAGGCATATAAACATTCTTTTTGTGTATAATCTGAGCAGTTAAATAGTATTTGCTTGTTTGACATTGCTTTCAATGATACTGTGAGATATAATGGAAAATTTATTAAATTATTATCCCATAATCTTATCCCTTAAATATCCTTACATATGTGTGCTGCCCAGAATATAGACTGTGATGAAAGAAGAAACAGAGACCCTACTTGAATTGATAGTTTTCAAGACAACTAAGTCAGCTGTGATTTCATGCATTGCCTACTTGATTAGTAGTGTGGTGATAAAGCCAAGTCGTGAATTTTTTCTTGTTCATATTCTCCAATTGAACCTGTAATTCTGACCAGCTACTTATACACTCTGATTTTCCTGAGGTGGATTTTGAAGATAACGTAGATAAAACATAGGTAAAAAATACAGTCATTGCTGTGGGGGTTGGGAGGGGGTGAGGGGGAGAGACACAAGGCTATGTCTTCTTTCGACATGGAAATCAGTATCCAGTAGGTATTTGTGCATTTTCTCCCCTGGTGTTTTATGTGAGAATTGGAATAATAAATGTATTTACTTAACTTTATAGGCAGTATAAATGTTTTGGCATGTCTTACTTTTTAATATAAATCATTTTTTATCTTAACCAGCACTTGATCAATTTGATTGCATTTTAAACTGGAAAGTAAATTATTTTTATTTTATTTTTTATTTTTTTGTCTTTTGTCTTTTTCCGTGTCCGGCAACGGATCGCAACCCTCAGTGTTGCCCCCATACCGGACCGGGGACCGGCAACGGGATCGCAACCCTCGGCGTTGCTCCCGCGCCTCGCTCAGCCAGTGAGCGGGAACCGGTCCGTATGTGGGATCCGAACCCTCGGGCGGGAGTGCCGCTGCGCCTCCCAAGCGGCGCACTATCCAGTGCGCCACCGGGCCGGCCCTGGAAAGTAAATTCTTAAAAGCCTTCATGTTACATACTAATTACATAGCTCCTAAACACTATATGATGGGAATATTGATTACTAAAAATTTACATAAAAGAACAATTTTTTAGCTCAGGTAATCTTAAAGGCTTTCCTTCCATTTTATAATGAATTTTGACTCTTTAGCAAGGTCTTTTTAAATATAAGCTTAAAAGTTGCTCCCGTGCCTCGCTCAGCCAGTGAGCGGGAACCGGTCCGTATGTGGGATCCGAACCCTCGGGCGGGAGTGCCGCTGCGCCTCCCAAGCGGCGCACTATCCAGTGCGCCACCGGGCCGGCCCTGGAAAGTAAATTCTTAAAAGCCTTCATGTTACATACTAATTACATAGCTCCTAAACACTATATGATGGGAATATTGATTACTAAAAATTTACATAAAAGAACAATTTTTTAGCTCAGGTAATCTTAAAGGCTTTCCTTCCATTTTATAATGAATTTTGACTCTTTAGCAAGGTCTTTTTAAATATAAGCTTAAAATGTTAGCAGTTGACTTAGTAGTGACTTGGTATGACAAAGTCTTAACTCCAAGGATCCAAGGAGGCTTGATCTTATTTTTGATGAACATGTTTAATTCAGATCATGGCTTATCTTTGAGATTTAGCTGCTGATGTTAACCTCAAGGGTGGAGGTGGGACTTGGATATCTGTATATTTCATTCATTAGATGCTGGGTATGGCCAATTCTGTTGCATTAATCTTATTGCTAATTAACATGTCTCCATTGTTCAGGCCTAAAGGGATTTGACTTTGGATATAAATGTGACTGTTTCTGCTTCTACCATCTATTGTCTAATGCTAGATTTTTCTACCTGTATAGTTTGGGGCTGCATAAGTGTGAGGCTCTTGTAAGGGGAACACTACAACATCCTGAGTGAGTCAGAGATTTACAGGTTTTGTAGGTTGAGAGTGCACCTATTAGAAGACCAGTGAAAATTCTTCTCAGCATAAAGAGTTTTATCTTTGAAGATGACTTTAAGTCCAAGAAATTGAGTCAGGCCTACCTATGCCTTATGTTCATTTGGAAACTTAGATACAAATAATCAGTACACGAAAGGTTATTCGAGGCTTGGCCTGAAGAAAGAAGAGAGTTGGTTCCACACTGTTTACATGATTAAGTGAGGTAGACTTTCATTACTTTATAAGAAGTTGGGAAGATAACTTTAACAAAATAATAATAATTACAAAGTCAGTAATAGACTCATACATTTTCTGTTAATACAGTTCCAGAAAATAACAAACACATATCTTTGTTAAAAATGCCTTTTCTACAACTGTAAAGTGTGTATACAACCACTAGAATTTTTGCCTCCAGTAATACTTAATTTCTTATGTACTTTTTAAATTAATCTTTTGTGAATTAGTAATACAGTTTGAAAAAGCTTCATTTTAAGTCACCTATTCCAGAATGACATTTTTGCTAACTTCTAGGATTATAGAGAAGTGTTTCTCAATTGTTTTGACATCTTAGCCACACAGAGAGTGATATTTGGGTAGCACACTAGGGTAAAAGGATGGTGCTGCTGGACAAACCTGCTTGAGGCTGGCTTTGAATGTTCCCAGGGGAGCAGCTGCCTCACATCCTGCTCAGACTCCCTGAGGGATGCCACATCTATTTGGAAGCTAGGATCTACAAGTTTTTTTCCAGTAGTCTCATCAACTGAGTGAAAATTAAATGAATACTTCAAACAGAATAAATTGAGATAAAATTACTGAGTGTGGAATTTTCCAGAATGGAAGAGTAGGAATTGGCCTAGTGCTCAAAGGAAAGAGCCTTGAGATACTCCATTCTCATGCAGAACCTGCAGCCAGCAGAGGTTTTGTCACTCACTTGCATTTCCACTTCACAGAGCCAGGACTAGAGGTGAGATCTTCAGGTATGTGGGTCAGCACTCTGTGACACCTTTGCCATTAACTGGAGGCTGAAGGAGAGCCCAGACATGCAAACATGGGACGCTTGGTCCTGATGACCTTTGCGATTCTCCTTCCTCCTATGAGTCTTCATGAAGTTTAACTTACGTAGCAGCTGAGAGAGGCAGGATATTTTCCATAGAGAAGTAGTTTTTTGAAAAAATCATGGAATCCCCTAAGCTCAGTGTTTATGTTTCCTGTTTTTTCCTAATTGTAAAAGATGGGAGTCAAAACAAGGCTGCTAGTTTGATTTTTGTTTGTTTTGTTGATTGAGCTTAGTAATAGTTGCGATATTTTACTAAATGTTATTTTTCATGTGTAAGCAAAGGGCTTAGTTTTAGAAGTTAAGTATTTTCATTTTAATCCTATATAGGAGGCTCCTTAAATGCATAGTCAGTATATCTGATCACTCTGGCAGCATCACTTTCTGCCATCAGTGACTGTGCTCTGGAGGTTGAGAGATAGCAAAGCTCTAGACAAGCAGAAGAGCAATGGAGAACACAGGCAGTGATCCAGATGGCTTAGGTCTAAAGGCTTTTCAAGTAGATCCATCACAGAAAAATGAAGGGCAAGGTTTCTTTTGCCTTTATTATCTGTTTTCCATTTCACTTGGTATGTATAGACACATCCAAATTTTGGTGCTTAGGTAGATTATTTTTCTTGATGTTGCTGACCAGTGCCTAGCCATAGAGGAGGGTCTTCATATTAGGAGGCATAGATGTCACCCTCTGTGAAAGATATTAAATCCATCTGCCCTCCTCATTTGGGTTCATGGCTGTGTGAGCCTATCTGGGTAGAAGCTGAAACCCAAAAGGGTCACAGTATAAGATGAAGAGGAAGGCACCAGTCTCCCATAGACCCTGTTTTTAAACAGTGTCATTCATAGTGACTTAGAAAGTGGCCATTTCCAAGGGATGGTCCTCTAGACCAGAAAATATATCTTGAACTGAGAGAATCTGAAAAAGTGAGAGGGTTTTCTAGATGAAGAGGAAGGCACCAGTCTCCCATAGACCCTGTTTTTAAACAGTGTCATTCATAGTGGCTTAGAAAGTGGCCATTTCCAAGGGATGGTCCTCTAGACCAGAAAATATATCTTGAACTGAGAGAATCTGAAAAAGTGAGAGGGTTTTCTTCCCATTTTCTGAGAGGGAAGACTTATATTTGGAATTGCATGCTATTAGACAGAAACCAGACCTTGGTGATAGGCTAGCCCAGATTCATCCTTTCAAGAAACAGTGCAAGCGAGAGAGCAGTTCAGTGGCTGTGCAGTGTCACACAGCTAATGACAGACAAAGATGAGACTGTTCTCCTGTAAGTCTGTCTTAGGCCCCTGTATGCAGCCAGCCCTCTAAAGGGTCCAGGTCTATCATAGGTGTCACTGACTGCCTCCCAGGCTTTGTGAAAAATGCTGGTATTTCTTGTCACTGCGGGATATATCTTCTTTCCCTTGTTATGTCAGGACCAAAAATTTCCCTCTCCAAGTGGAATTAAGAAGAGAAAGAAAAGTCTTAATAAACATTATGTCCCTTGAATAGCTAGTAAACACATGATTATCATATGAAAAATGTGATAAGGTTGTCAGCTTCCATTCTTTTAGGTTGAAATGCTGTTCAAGTGGATTTAACGGCTTGCAGCTTGTTCCACAACACACAGGGCCTTCTTGCGCCCCATTGCCCCACCTTGCAGGTCTCCTCTCCTGGCATTCAGGGCTTTCTCTGGATCCATAGGTCCGTGATCCAACTTGGTATAGCTAGAGCAGCCAGGCAGCTGCTGCTGCCCATCCTCTCCTGACTGTGCCCAGGGCCTCAAATACGTCAAGTGGTCATTCTTGATCTTTACCCACCCCATAACTAATTGTAATCTTAAGTATCAAAGTGCTTTGTTCATTTTTCATGTGATACGTTTCATATTGCTTTATAATTAAGCTGCCACTTTTTTCTTTTCAAACCACTCCTCCCCACACTAGATGTTAACATAGTACCTTGAACCTAATGTACCAAATATTGAGTACAATAATAAATGAGTATCTGGATAGTAAGAATCCTGAGCACAAATTAGGGTACTCATTTAATATTTATAAAATTGAATCAAAAGGACTATGACTTTGGATTATTTAAACTTTCATGGCACCTATAAAGCATTGATATATATAGTACTATTCCTATTCTAAAGACTGGGTTATTATTCAAAGTGAAGTCATAATCCAAGTGTTAGCTAGGTACAAGAAGAAATGTATAGCTATCCTAAACAGGCAGCTTCTTCTGATGTTGGATTTCTTTGTGTCATGTGGTGCTGTAGGGGAAGAGAAAAGTCACAGATGGAGAGAGTAGCTCCAGCTTATTCCAGCTCCAGCTGACTCTGTCCTGTTTGATTCAACCTGTCAGTTCCATCACCATGGCCCATGCTGGTCCCCGATGTGGAACATGGACTGGGGTGATCCTGCCCTTAAAGAGCTTGTAGTTTATCAAGGGAAAAGACATATTTATTATATTGTAGAAAGTGACTGGTACTGCAGTTAATGTCAAGGTGAAGCCAATCAATCACTGTCTAAAACAGGATTTAATTCACATAACTGAGGAATCTTCTCACAATTTGTGTTTGTACAAATCTCTTATGGTACTCTAGAATTCTAGAGCCTAAGATGTTCTCCCACTCAGTGGGGGAAAGGGGTTTTATCCATTGGTGAGGGGCAGCTCATATACAGTGCAGTTTTGTTTATCTAGGTTAGTGTTTTTAAAAAGATTATGTTAGACTCGGCTGATAGTGTCTGTTTTCATATACCTTCTTGATTCATCCATTTATAGGGGGCTGTCTGTAGACTTTTGAATTTGTGACTCTCATTCTCAATAATATTTTCCTTTATTATGTCACATTTGAAAAGTAGAAAGTCCTTAATTATATCCTTGTCTTTTTTGAAGATTTTTCACTAGCTGCTAATTATTTGTCTAAGAATATCTGGTTATAGAAGCAAGGCCTAATTTTGAGGACCTTTGGTAATAAATGTCCTATCTACTCACTGTGAAATCATTTTTTTTCCTCCAGGTCTTGGTGGTAATATCAGAATGTATCTATGTGCCACTTCCAAGGCATTTATCTGAACGTTCTGGTAAGTATGATAAACTCATGTAATACAGAGTAGTTTTGGAATTCTGTGGTATGCCCTTTTGTGCTCATGTAAAAGTGGGTCTTTGCTTTGATTAGCTGGGTGACCAAACCATCACTGCTACCAAATTCCTTCTTAAAATATGCTCTGTAGTTAGATTTGAACAAAAATTTCTTTTTACCCCTTTCTTAAATTAAGGAATATTGCATTTTGGTGATTACTTATTCCCTTTAGGTGTATGCCCTTATTAGTCATTTTTTCTTTCATCAAACTAGAACTAGAAGGGAGGAAAGGGAACTCACATTTACTGAGTCTCTACTGCATTATGGTAACTATCCAAAGTCCTTTAAGAGCAGTCTCCCTAAATTCTTGCACTGCTTCACAATGCTTCACACTGCTTCTGGGACCGAGGGGCCCTGGGTTTACATGTCTTTATTCCTGACTATTTTTGAGACTGCATAAAGACTTTATGAGATTTTATAATTGTTGAATTTTATGTCACAAGTTTAAATAAGCTTATATTTCTTTGTAGTTCTTGAAGTTTTTGAGGCTTTGAGAATTCCACAGATAATTAAAAAATATATTTGGATTATTAGAACTCTTAAAAGTGACAGCAACCCTAAGCCTCTTAGAGGGAAAAATGAAAATTTACTCGCTCACATATCTGAAAAGTCCAGGGATGTTCTAGCTTCAAGCACAGCCCAAGTGATGTTAGGTTTCTGTTTCCATGTGGCTCATTCGGTGGCTGTCAATAGTCCCAATTCAAATTTTATCGGTTTAACAATCCCTGAAGAAAGAGAGAAGGCTTTTCCTCCTGACTCTAGCCCCAAATCCCTGGCGAGTCAATACTCTGACTGGTTCAGCTTAAGTCACATTTCTGAACAAATCGTCATGACCAGTGGATCTCCACGCATTCCACAAGGGACAAAATGCAGAGTACGTAGGAACCTTTGCTCTCCCTGCCCATGTGGTCTTCCAAAGTCAACATGATCAGTAAAATCTCCAGAGAGGGGTGGAGAAGCCCTGGATGGGGCTAGGATGCCAACCAGTGAATCTGTCCTGTGTGGTATCATAGCTTCAAGGTGGAGGAAATGTCACTTTCTCCATTTTTTCATTTCACAGCTAAACAATGAATTGATTATTGAATTACCATTGTTTATTCAGAGGACGTTCACTGCTCTTCTTCCCCTTATAGGGCAGAATCTGAGGTCAGAAGAGGCTCATAGGGCTGAACAGTTGCAGGATGCAGAAGAAGAAAAAGATGACTCGAATGAAGAAGAAAATAAAGACAGCCTTGTAGATGAAGAAGAAGAGAAAGAGGACCTTGGCGATGAGGACGAAGTAGAGGATGAAGAGGAGGAGGACAATGCAGCTGCTGGTGTGGAGGAGGAGAGGAGTGACACCAATGACCAGGGGCCCCTGAGAAAGGGCAGCCGGGCCCAGAAGGAAATAGAGCCTGAAGAGACTGAAGACGATGTCCCTGAACAGCCCTGTTCAGCTGACACAGAGGTGGTGGAAGACTCGTTGAGGCAGCGCAAAAGTCAGCATGCTGATAAAGGACTGTAGGTTTCATGATGTAATTATGTGTCCAAGGACACAGGCCAAAAGAATATGTCAGTCTCCCTCTGTTCTGTAGTTCAAACCAAATCCTTAAGTTTTCCTGAATGAGCAAGCTTCTCTCTTAAAAGATATCTCTAGTCATGTGGTCTTGTGGCAGTAAGCCTCATGTATACTAAGAGACTCTTTCAAGCGTGATAATCAGGATACAGAAAAACAAAAACGTGGTGTTAGGATCTATTTGGGGACTTGAGATAGGAACAAGTTGATTTGCTTGGGGCTAGAGAGTCTTGACCAGAGAAGACAGCTTCCCGCGCTCATTTGTACCTTCTAGAGACAAGGCTGCTGGCCCCATAAAATGAAAGCAAAGCAGCTTTTACTCCCAAGCTTCCTTGAAGTGTAGCAGAAATCTTGCTTCCTTTTCATGTGTTAAGTATTTATTTTTCTCAAACTGTAAGAAACATCAGGCACCACAGTGCATGAACACTTTTTTAGAGATAGAAATTGAGAGGGCCCTGGATATACTTTTAGAAAAGAGCTTGGGAGTCATCCCAGCCTTCATCCTTTGTTATGCTTCATTTCTTACCTTTAATTTTTCCAACTTCTCCATCATGGGCCTGCAGGCTACTCACCTTCTTCACAATTATTCCATACTGAGAGGACTCAGACAGCAGCCGGGTTTATATCAATTGGGTTTCTTCCGACTTAAGTGTTTAGATAATCAGTAACTACAAACTATGAAGCAATGACTGCCAAGCAGCTCGAATGAAATGTTGTAACCTCTGGAGATTCAAAAGGAAGTAGGGATTTTATAGGACAGATTTTTGAAAATCTTTTGCCCAAAATGTAGTAATTTTTTAAAGTTTTTTTTTTTTTTTTAGCAATATTCTTTTTGAAGCCAGAAGTCCTCTAAGTCTTGCCAGTACAAGGTAGTCTTGTGAAGAAAACTTGAATACTGTGTTGTTCTATTTCCATCTCAAGGGGTTCCCTGGCTCTTGTATCACCTTAATAATAACTGAAAAACCATTTCTGGTTTTATTTCGGCAGTGTGCTTTTGGTGACAGAATTCATGAAAGTCAATATCTGGAAGTGAAAGGTTTTATTTTGTTTCTATCTTCCTAAATCTTCTAAAGAATTTTATCTTTGTAAATCCCTCAATACTCAGTCTATTGTAAGTAACCAGGGATCCCAGTGTCTTCTGGAAATCAGTCCATCTACTTCTCTCATACCTGATTTATGTCTTAGAATAAATTCATAAAATTAGATTCCATGTGTATGAAAAATGCCTAAAGTTGATCCTGTGCCCTTTGGGTCCAGACAGAATAATAATAACTTTTTGAAATTCTAAAAGTTTCTGGCATGTTTAAAAAGAAAAATGCAGTACCTTTCTATCCGGCTGTTTAGATAACCCTTTCCTGTATTAACTGCAAGCATGGGACTCACTTGATGATGGTAGGGTTCTGAAACTCTGCTCTCCCGTGATTGAATGAGGCTGTTGCAAGCCTTGCACAGAGGAGGTTTTTATTCTGACAAAATATATTTTAGAGATGGATATTTGTCATTTTTCCAACTCAGTTACCTAACATTCTCCTCCCCTAGTACACTGAAGTTTGAGTCCCCAGTGATTGTCCTCTTTGGACAGCAGTGCATCCTCAAGTTTGAGACCATCACAGAACTGATGAAATGGGAGAACCTTGACATATGTCTGTTTCCTACCCCTCCCGTCACATTGGCCTCTGACACATTCTCAGTTAAAGTGCTGTCATTCTGATGGTGGCAGTTCTATCGCGCTGATGCAAGGAAGCTTTTCTTCATCAGAGCTGAGCTGAGCCTGCTCTCCTGTCACTGGATTTCTTTCTCTTATAAACAGTTTAAACAAAATTTTCAAAGAACAGTACTTTCTAAGTTCAAGTTCAGAGACATGGCAAAAGAAAGTCTTCAGAGTTTGGCTTTTCAGTATAATGCCCCCCCCCCCCCCCCAAAAAAAAAATTTTTTTTTTTTTTTTTTTTTGTGGAGTATTTGAGTAGTGGGCAAAGAATGAAGATCTACGTTGGCTTTTATAAATCTAAGGCCAGTTTTCAATTGGACCCAAAATAGGAGCTAATTATGTAATAAATATGCATTTTCTTTTTCAGCGATACTTTTCAAAAAATTGGATTGTGAGGAGAAAAACATTTTGAAGACGAGGATCCATTAAAAGTTTAAGTATCTGTCTATGGATATCATTTTTTCCTGATTTTTCCTTTTTTTTGACATCCTGGCAAAAGATGAGCTTTTTTACTAAATGGCCTGATAAGTACACATCAAATTTAATCCTTCTCACTTGAAGCCTTTAGGTTTGTTTTCAGTACTTAATGAATATAAAACTAAAGGAAAAAGTCAACTTAGAATAATTTAAACTTAAAATTAGATCATGAGCCTAACGTTTGCACAGGACTTTGTGGATTTTTCCTGTAAATAATACTCATATTTAATCCAGAATTAAAGTGCATGGAAACATGATTTTGATTTATAAAATGAAAAATAATCATGATTTCGGCTATTGTAATATCAATTATTTAATTACAGAATGGTATTTTATAAAAATTAAAATTAGATGAATGAAATAAAAGTAACTGGATTTTGGAATGGAGGGGTTCAGGTGTTTACGTGTGGGTTGTTGGAGCAGGATAGCTTTTCATTGATTAGAAAGTTTGAAACTTTAAGTTACCTTTTTATTAGTTTCTTTTATATTCAACTCTTGCTAGAACTGCTAAAACAACTCAGCTCGCTTAGAGATCTCATATTAAAGCAATGTACAGGCAGGCAATTCTGTTTCATTCTTCCTCTTTGAAGTATAATCATTGAATAGGGTGAGGGACGGCCTATTCGGTTCACAGGGTCTTGCACTGCATGGGCACGTACTTACAACATGATCTTGTGCATGTGATCCATGTCTGTTAGCTGCAGGCCTCTTTAACTACATAAAGAAATTCAAAATAACTACTATAGTAAAAAGTAAACAAGCTTTGGTTGGACTGGCTTTTGACTGCGGAGAAAGCCAAATTTTTACTTTTATAGCCCCAAATCGTTACTGATAGTATGTTGCAACATGAATTGGATACAGTAAGTCTGCAGAGCCTGCATCCTGTAACACCTTTGACGTAGATGATTAAAATGCTTTTTAAGGCTAGTAATTACCATGTGACTTTTTATTACCAAGTCCTTTGGGAATACAGCTGGTATGCTCGTTTAAATGAAGGGAAATATTAAAGAGTCCAAAGAAAAATAAAAAAAATAGTGGAAAAGATCGAGTAAGCCTGAGATTCAGCCTAAACTCTTTGACATGATGTGAAAAAAAGAAGGGGAAGGCTGGTGCTTTTGCTAGAGTATCAATAGGATAGCTATGGATTTCATCTCAGTGTTGCAGTGTTAGCTCTGCCAGTATTATAAATGTGAGGTTGATCCATCCTGTCAAATATACAAACATTTTGGAAAGTATTTACATAAGTCTTTTGTGCCAACCGAAAAGTTCCTGTGTGATATCTTTTTACCTCAGTTTCACATTTTGATCCTCTTGAGAAGATTATAGCTTGTCCTGAAAAAGCCAAATGTGGAGCCAACAAGAATGATGAAGCTTGATGAGGCAGCTTTGTGAACAGTTTTCCCGAAGAAGGAGGTTCAGTTGAAAGGCCTTTGATAGCTTCAGCACAGACATGGCCTTTTGATGGTATTCTCAGTAAACATTTGTGTAAACTGTGACACTGTATATGTGTGACTCACACAACTTTGACATGTTTCCAATGTAGTTTAATCATATTTGTTACTAGACAGCTTCTATGTGGTAATGCAGTTTTTATATTAAAAGCACTGCTTCTTTGTACTGCAATACATTATGCATTTGTTATTTGCAGTCTTTGTAATAGTCTCGATTATTTAGCCCAGTGTAATTATTTTTTCTCTTCATTCATGTATTCTATGCTTCCTCAAATAGCATCTGTAGCAACTGAAATGAGAAATCAAAATATGCGTTTCAGGCAGTACATTGTCTGAATTACAAATCACCTGATCACAGAATGTACATAATCCTTGTTCCTATGTTTTCATTTTACTGTAAATTTCCATTGGCATCGAAACCTAATGACAATGATGACTAAGTAAAAAAAACAAAATGGTGTATTGCTTTTCATATAACTATTTTCACAAAAGCCATTTGCGTAGGCAGTAAAAATATTACTTTGTTAAAAAAAAAAGTTCTCTTCTGTGTCTATGCTCCATTCAGTCTGTTCATTCTATCCCTGTCTGCCCCAGCTTGGTGAAACCCAAACTATGTGCCCTTAGCTGCTCTAGAAAGTGCACAAAACTAAGGACAAGTCCAAAGATCCAAGAGCTCCTCCTTGTCATGGTCCTTGGAAACTCACTGCATTTACCTTTCAGGTCTCTCTCTATCCTGAAGTCTGGGGGTGGCCAGGCCTGGAGCAGATGACAAGTAAGGCTGCTAATCCTCTAAGACACTGCGGACTGAACTGCCTGGTCTCTTAAGGCTTTCAGAAGACTCCATTCTACACCTAACCTTCCCCACCAGTATAACAATGGAAAAGCACAAAGGAGGTGAAGTAACTCCTTTCACCAACCTCTGATACTGAAATGGAGATTTGAATTTTCTTTTGGAAGATGGTAGGGGGATGTGTAGTAAGAAGAAAAGTGTTAAATTTGCATAGCACCAAGTTCCTCCATCAGAGAAACTGGCTAAGAATGCTTATTTGCTCATTGAGGGAAATATGTCTGTCATGCTGTGTCTCAGCCTAGACGAACTTGGTTATCCATTCTTGGTGGTAGCAAAACTGGTGGTTTTTGAAACCAACACTACCAAATTGCAAAATGCAGTCTCCAACTTTGCTTCAATCTTGAAGGCTCTTTGGAACACATTCCACAATAACTGGAATTTTTTCTTAGAAAATGTGAACTTCTTGAGATTGATAACTGTATTAGGCTAGTGTAGGCTCTGCTAACAGACCCTCTAATCTCAGGGGCTTTAAGAACAATAATTTTATTACTATTTCACTTAATCCAGGTCAGGCATTCCAGGCAGTAGTGGCTCTGCTTCATGCAGATTTTTCTGGGAACAAGGTAAAGGGAGGCTTTGCTGTCTAACATATGTCTTCTAAGGTGGCTATCTGTGGTCATTTCCATCCCAGCCAGTTAGAAGGAGAAAGCATGGAGGGACATTCCTGGGAGATTTTAGTGCTAGATTGCTAAGAGGCACATTACGTTCACATTTCGTATGAGAGGACTTAGTCATAGGATCCCACCTAATTGAAAGGGGGCTGGGATGTGTCATCTTGCTGTATGCTTAAGAGCAAAGAAGAATTTGAGAGCTAGCAATCTGCCACAGTAACATTATCTTATCTACCTTTGTAACCCTAGTGCCTAGTATAGAGTAAGCTCCTGGGAAATGTTGGTAGTATGCATGTACACATTAGCAGGAGAGGAAAGAATGCATATGGTCCCAACGCTGGTTGTCTTCTAGACTTCACCATTATTTGTCTTCCACATGCCAGAGTTTTCAAACTGTAAGCATTGTGATGTCATGAAAATGGAAATTAATAAGCAGGATAAGAATTACAAATGGAAAAGTAAAGAGATGCAATGTGAGTTTATGAAAAGAACCTGATCTAGGATAAAATTAAGTTCACGAGTCCTCCCCTTGTCAACTTGGTACTCATAGGCATCTCCTTAAACCATACTTAATTACCAAATAAAGACAATAACAAGGTAATAGTTCCACCTAACATGATGTAGCGAACATAATGCAACAATCCTGCATGCAACTGAAAACATGCTGGTGAGAGAGAGAGAGAGAGAGAGAGAGAGAGAGAGCTTTCAGGACTTCAATGCTTGGGATTTTAATCTTTTGGAATTGTGATTTACGGGATTTTAGACATTAGGGACTTTAGACTTTAGGGATTTTGATTTTCAAGGTTTTTGACCTTTTGAGATTTCAACATTCTGGATTATGGCATTTAGGATTATGTCATTCAGGATTATAATCAATACTGACTATGTGTTGTTTATGCATTCTATTGACAGACATGGTGTGTTTCTAGTTCTTAGCTGGTCCTTTGAATCTTTTGATTGCGAGACATTCCCTGGACTATTTTACTAATGATATTTGAGAAAAATACCAGAATGCTAGAAATATATTCCTCAGGATTTTCCAAAACTCGTTCTTAAATTACCAGAAAACAAAATTTTTACCCTAGCAGGGAGATGCTTGAGAACACAGATACTGGAGCAGGTCTTTCTGGGATTTAATCCTAGATCTACTACTTGCCAGTGGTGTGAACGGGAACAGGTTACCTAACTTCTCTATGCCTCATCTTCACATTGGGGAAAATGAGACTCCCACATTCGTTAATGAGGGTCTGGACAATTTTAACCAACCCAATAAGAACAACTAGAAAAGCTGCTTTAAATATATTTTGTGTGTGTGTGTGTGTGTGTTTATGCTCACAAGTCATATATAATATACTTTGTTTTGTATAATTGTGTGTATATATATATACATATATATTCCTTGGAAGCATCATAGTTTACATGATAATGAGGGATTATCAGGCCAAGATCTATGGGAGATTGAAAGGTCACGAATGTGATCCTGGTGTTTGGGGCTGGTTTTTCCTAAGGGCATTTGCTGTTTCTAAGAGTAGATTTGGTGGGGGAGGGTTGAGAGGCTGAGTAACGTTTTTGAGAGCTTTGTTTTTCTGAGGGGACAGGGATTGGCTAAGGATGTGAGGGCCTCTGAAATCCCCTTGTTTAGGTAGGGTCTCTGAAAAGACTCACATTAGAGTGAGTCCCACATTAGAAATGAGGATGAACCGGAAGTAAGCAAGCCCCCACAGAGACCAAATCCCAGAATTGATCTGTCCAGCTCCTGAAATCAGGATGTAGTGATCCTGGAAGCAAGTGTGAGGGAGTTAATTGGTAATGGTTGAG